TAGTATATATAGTATATATAGTATATATAGTATATATATACATACATACATTTTACAGCGTATATTGAGCAATGGTTAATATTTTTTTCTTTATCATTGACGTGATCTGCCTTGTTACAATAACTCCTTCGTTCTTTTAATGTTTTAATTTCTCTATATAGTTTATAATTAAATGCACGTCTTCTGTCAGTTCCATAACTTATCCAAATATCAAATATTACCTTTTGTTTAACCAATCATACCAAATGTTCCATATTTCATAATAGTCACTATCTTGTTTATTTTTTAACAATTTGGTTAGGCTATTTATATGTTTTACTAATTGTTTTCTTTTCCTCTCCTAGCCATATTTTATCTAATTCTTGTGGGATCATATTAAAGCCAAATTGTTCTCTATCTTTTTTATAATGGGTTTGTATTTGTGCGAAGGGCCACCATGCTATCTCCTTTCCTTGAATTTGTATTTGGTTCCTATTTTTAAGCTCTCCAGTATCATATAGTAAATCTTTATACCTGACAATATTTTCATAATCCAATAGATTTGGATATGTGACTGCTTCCAATGTAGACAGCCACAATGGAACCTTTGGGTAGTGGTTTTTTTTAATCTTTCCCCAGATATTGAATAACAAATTTCTTACATGGTGCCTTTGGAAATATGAATGTTGTTTAGATTTTCCATCCCACATGAAGGCGTGCCAGCCCAGTTGGAGATCAAAACCTTCTAATACTAATAACCTTCTATTTTCTAATTTAACCCAATCCTTAAGCCAGTTTACTATAGCAGCATCATAATATAATTCAAAATCTGGAAGGCCAAATCCTCCTTTTTTCTTGGCATCCTGTAATAGTTTATATTTCACTCTGGGTTTTTTCCTCTGCCATATAAATTTAGATATTTGTTTAATTGTACAAAAAAAATCTTTTCTAACTTGACTGGCACTGTCTGAAACAGGAACAACAGTTTTGGCAAAATATTCATTTTTACTGTTGAAATACGTCCCAATAGCGATAACTGCAATTTGGCCCAATTATCTAAATCTTTAACTATTTGCGTTATTAACTTATCATAGTTATCTTTTTTAATTGATGAACATCTAGCAGTCAACCAGATCCCTAAGTATTTTACTTTATTTACCACCTGCATACCTAATTTATTTGCTAGTTCTTCTTTCTGCTCCTTTGTACTGTTTTTTGTTAACATTTTTGTTTTTTCTTTGTTAATTTTTAACCCTGCCACCTTTCCATATTCTTTTATTTCTCTTAGTAGTGTAGGGCTCATTTCTAAGGGTTCATCTAATATAAATGCCATATCATCGGCGAATGCCTGGAGTTTATATTCCTCTTTTTTAATTTTTACTCCTCTAATCTCTTGATTTTGCCTAATTTGTGCTAAGAGAGTCTCTTCTGCCAATATATACAGTAGAGGACTAGGGGGCAGCCTTGTCTTACTCCCTTATTTATCTTTATGGTATCTGTATTTTCCCCATTTATTAATATTTTTGCGGTTTGCATGTTATAAATTGTCTTCATAAATCCTATAAAATTTTCACCAAATTTCATGCCTATCAGTTGTTTAATAAGGAAGTTCCAATTCAGGTTGTCAAAAGCCTTCTGGGCGTCTAAAAATATCAATGCTATTGTCTTGGTTGAGTGTACTTCATAATATTCTAATATATCCATAATGGTTCTTGTATTTGTTTTATTTGCCTATGGGGGAGGAAGCCATTCTGATCAGTGTGGATAATTCTACTTTATACTCTCTTTAATTTTTCCGCCAGTATTGTAGCCATTATTTTGTAATCTACATTTAAAAGTGATATTGGTCTATAGTTTTGAATTTTTTGTGGGTCTGATTGTTCTTTATAAATGAGGGTAATATATGCTTCCAACCATGATTTAGGCATGTTAGCGTTCTCCAGGGCTTCATTGTACAAGTCCACCAATATCTCCTCTATTGTTTCTTGGAATTCCTTATAGAATTCCAAAGGAATTCCATCTGGGCCAGGGGTCTTATTTGCTTTTTGTGTTCCAATTGCCTTCCTAATTTCTTCTATAGATATTTTATTATTCAAATTTTGTTTCTCTTCACCAGTAATTTCAGGCAAGTTCTTTTCATTCAAATATTGATCAATAGATTCTTCTGGTATTTCTTCCTGTTTATACAATTTCATAAAAAACTCCATAGCAGTTTCTTTCTTTTTTTGGGTCAGCGTGCATAATTTCCCTTCCTGATCTTGGAGAGCTATGATCGTTCTCTTTTCTTGTTCTTTTTTAATTTTATGGGCTAAGCACCTCCCCTGCTTATTTGCGTTTTCAGAATAATCTTGTTTTGCTAATTTAATTTTTCGGGCTAAATCTTCCTGTACATTTAAATTTATTTTAAGTTTTACCAGATCAATTTCTTTTTTAATGTTTAAATTGTTTGGGTCCTTTTGTCTACTTATTTCCAAAACTTTCAGTTTCTCCCTCCATATATTTTATTGCTGTTTTTTTTCTTTATTCTTTTTAATACTATAATAGTTAGACCTCTCACATAGGCTTTGGCCATATCCGAAAGATTCTGTAGAGAGGTATGTTCTCTTTTGTTTATTTCAAAAAATACATTCAATTCTTTCTTTATCATTTCAATCTATTCTTTATCTCTTAATATGGTATTGTTAAATGTCCATCTTCCAATTTTTCTCTTTCCTTTCCATTTAATTTGAATGGGATTATGGTCAGCCCATATATTTGGCAAAATCTCAATCCTTTCAATATTCTCCATTAACCCAGGGTCCATCCATATCTGATCTATTCTGGACCAAGAGTGGTGGGGGTTCGAAAAAAAAGGTATATTGTTTTTTATTTGGATTTAATTCTCTCCACACATCTTTCAAGTTAAGTTCTCTTACCATATTATTAAAAGACGAAGGGAGTATTCTCCTTTCCTTTCCTTTTTTTTTTTTTTGGAAGTTCTATAATCTTTATCTTTGTCTGGGACTGCATTATAGTCTCCTACAATGCATACATTAGCATACTCAAATTCTATTATCTTATGGTGAAGCCTATTATAAAAGTCTTTTTGGTTTGTATTCAGGGCATATATTGTGACTAATAACATCTTTTTCTGATTTACATTTATTTCTATAAAAAGCATTCTCCCTTCTTGATCTTTGTATATTTGTTTATGTTGCAACCAATTCTTTACATATACTACAATACCCCCCCCCCCTTTTTTTTTTTTTGCAAGTGCCGAGTACATTTTACTCAAATTTATATTCTTTAAGAGGTCTGCTTGATTGTCTGGAATATGCACTTCTTGGATACAAGTTATGTCAGCATTTTGTTTTTTAAGTTTCTCAAATATCTGTTTTCTTTTTGATGACAGATTTAAACCATTGATATTGACTGAAAATAAAGTGATTTCTCAATCAGTGTCACTGACTGTGTGAGGCATTTCTCGTTTCATTTCTTGTTCTAGGCTCTCTTATTCTTAGTCTGTTGCCTTCCCCTTCTTCTCTAAGATTTTGCGGTTCAGAGTGTGAATCAGATTCTTTTTCTCCAGAGAGTTGTTCCTCTTGGCTTCTTGTATTTAGGTCGTCTCTACTTTCTTGTTCTTCCTCGGGTCCTAGGTGTCATTCACGAAATTCCTGTGCTGTTTCAATTGTATCGATTTGTATTTTTTGTCCTGCCATGAAACTAAAAGCCCCTCTGGGGTGAGCCACCTAAATGGAATACCATTTCTAATAAGCTGGGTGCTGCATTGATGCGGAGCTGAGGAGCGGATCGCTGCTCTGAAAGGCTCCGATTTTCGCTGTTTGGTGGCTTCCAGGAACGTGTTGGACCTCGGAGGGGTAGACAGATGAAGAAGAAGATGATCATCCATGGACATCATTCAACTGGTCAATCATAGATGTAACTAAATAATATTGGTAAAACATAATCTTAATAGATATATATGTGTTAGAATATTAAGTTAAGAATACTGGTTAATAATTTTTGAATAACTGGACAATTGAAAGTATGTTGTATAAATATAGAACTCAGACCTTCAAATAATAATCATATAATAAGAAATTGAGGTATTTTTATTCTGAGGTAAGCATATAACTAAGAACTCTAAAGAAATAGATTAATTGATTAATTGATATTTTTATATAGATAAGAATTTAATTACTTTAATGAATTGGCTGCTTTAAATTAATTCAGCATATAAGACGGTTGATTTTGTGAGTAAATATATCTGTATTTGATTAATATTGAATTCTCTTAAGTATTGTTGAATAAGTTCAATACCTGCAGACAGTACAGGCAACGCTTACTATGATGCACAGAGCCTGGAAAGGGGTGGTGGGGGGCGGTGAGAGAAAATGGAGAAAATCTGAGGAGACACAAAGCTTGAATACTGTAGTAGAAGGCACAAAGGTGAAATTCCAGTAAAAAGACTCTGATGGCTTTGTCCAAGGTATGTTTTTTTTAATTATTTTTTTTCCATAGAAGACTAACTTCAAAGCAGAAATACTCCCAACTGTCACTGCACCTTTATATTTTGTTATCTAGAAGTCCATATCTGTTTTGTATACTTAATTGTCTAAGTACTTTCTCTATTTACCTTAATTACCTTAATTAATTTTTAGGATGAGGTTACAAGACTTAAGTAACTTCAGTAAGACTTCAGTAACAAGAGGAAGAAACTCTTGTTTTCTGAGACATAAATCATATGGGGTTAATATATAATCCAACTTGGATTAAAATCTATGACAAAACTTTCATCAGCTGTAATTAGTCAGGATAGCTGTATTAATAGCCTTAGTCCAACCCTCCTCTTAGCCGTGGTTCTGTGAATCCTAGGTAAGAAATTGCAAACAGGTAGGTTTGTATTCTTTTTTTTAATTGTTCCTAGTACAGTAACCGGCAAGCACAGTTAAACTGAACAAGGTTAGCACTGAAATCAATCATCTTTCAGTGTAATTTATCCCTTCACCCCACCCACCTAATCGCTGTCTATCTGTGCCTTGCACTCGTGTCCCAATTACCCTATTAACACTATAATTCTATGGTCTACATCACATACTAAGCCACGATTCCCAACTACCCCTTACTCCTCCCATTCCTGCAGTTGCTCTCTCTTGATTTATTTACCCACCCTGCCAAAAGCTGTCTTTATGAATTTATTAGTATGATGTTCCTCGGTGGTTAATGCTACATTGCCGATTGTGGGTATGTAATGAAGTGTTTGTATTCCCCCCTCATCAAAACTAGTCAGCGTGAAGACGTCATCTGGTAGCAATGTTTGTTTTCGTTTCATCTACCTCAAGACATTAATCTTCCAATGCTGTCAAGCAAATCGTTTCACGAAGCCCGACACTTCCATTTATAAAACTGCAAGAGACTTAGATACAAACTATTATATTCCCTTTGCATGTTGTTAGTCAATAACCCCCCTTCCCAGTGTTACCACTGCCAATTTTATAATACAATTTTATTCACTAATGATAAATACAAATCATTTGTTTGAAAATTAAAGAGACAAATTATAATGTTGATGATAAAAAGGCAGTTTCCAAAGCCTTTCTCCCCCACTGAGTGAAACCTGAGTCACCTCCCAGAGTGGGATGTCTCAGGACATCCAGCTTTCTTTCCAGCTCTTCTGCAGAGGAAGAGAAAGCACGTAAAGCCTGTGGGGCAGTGTAAGCCACCTCTGGAGGCTGCTTTGGGGTAAGGGTTGAGAGAGAGAAGCTGTTGGTTAAGGCCAGCCCCCAGCCCTGCTTGCCCACCAGATTCACCGATCCAGGGCAGGGATAGAAAAGAGGCAGATCTAATTACTTCTTAGACTGAAACTTCAAATAAGTATGTTAGACTTTCTGATGCACAGCTCCAGTGAAATCTGAATGAATCTTTTTCATAATTTAGCAAGCCATAACATAGCATATAGACCTGAAAAAGAGAAAACCAATCAGCAATTTCAGTCATCCTATTGCAAATAGTCTTATCACCAGCAAGTTATGCTGACATGATCTTTAAACCTTAGTGAGACAGTCATAATGTACAACTTGGCAAAACCTTTGTCTATTTCTACAAAGTAGAAAAAGAATTATATTTGTTCAATTTGTAAATGAAAAGTGTGCATGCAAAAGGATTTATAGAACATTGGCAGCCATGGTAGGCCAGCAGAAATGCAAGACTAAAGAAGCTACATTAAATCCCTATCTATGTCATCGAAAGGTGAGTGATTCTATCATTTTTATGATGTAAATACAACTTTATCATACCAAATTACTGTAGCCAATTATCTGTGGAGACATTCCTTGTGGTTCCACACTTTTGGGAAGTGAAGGAGCCAAAGCCAAGAGGCACCATTTTTCAGTGGAAATGCAGGTGTTCTGGAATAGTTGCTCAAGTGAGGTCAAATTAGTCCTGTGGTGATCACATTTAGAAAAATGCTAAAAATGAACTTTTCCAGCGAGTGTTTTGTTGAGTTTATGGTTTATGACATCTTTGATTCTTTTTATTTATTTATTTATTGCTTTTATGTTTGTGATTATTATTGAAACGATTGATTGGTTTGTTTTTATGGTGATTGAATAATATATAATTGACGTTATGTTTAATGTTCTGTAAATGTTTTAATTATTTTTCCTATCCTGGAAACTTCTGGGAATTCTTAGATTACAGTAAGATGTAAATATCATAAATAAGAGTGAAAGCAAGAACTACAAGTGATTAGTTTATTAAGCATGGCTGCAAAGGTGTTTACCTGAATTCTGAATGAAAGGGTGGAAGAGGTAACTGAGCAAAATTTTGAGAAACTGCATGTTTTTATGTTCTCCTTGATCTATGCATATTTTTTGCTTTTTTCAGTTTTGATATATATCAATGTTAAATTGGAATTTAAATGATGTTTGTTAATGTAAATAAAGGGTATAATAAAGTGATTGTTTTGTGCAAATATGGAGCCAAAGGAGGTTTGCTGGATATAGTATAAAATATCAGCTCATTGTAAAAATGGTTTAAATCACATTGCCAGAAAATGAATGGAAAATGAATGATGTAACCAAATCTGGGATGCTGTCTCAAGTTCTGATTATTGCATTTTTAAAATGATCTTGTTAATCTTGAAGAAAGGACCAGTTGATCAACCAAACCAAACAAGAGGCATTTTCCATATAAGCAAATATCCTGTTTGGGACTTAGAAATAAAAGGGGAATAAGGCAATGCATAATTGAATTATACACATTTATGCATGCTGGAGGAAAAGCAGATAGTTTCTACCCCCTTTCTCATAATACTTGAACCTGGATCAGTCTGTCAGTTCAGAATGATAGAAACTACTTTTCATATAGCATGTAATCACATTTGAAATTTGCCATCACAAAATGGTGATGGTCACTAAAGTGAACAGGTTTCAGAAAATAATCAGAGAATGGAAGATTATCAATAGCTATTGACACATGGCTGACGTTGTGTAGAGGTATCTTGATACTAAGAGATATTTCATGTTCCCTTTCAGGCAGGAAAATGTCTTGGACTTTTTTAATTTACAGTTTTGGGGGATCATATTTAGAAGGTTGCTATTGTCATCCTGTCTTGTCTTGAATGTGCAATCTTAGCTGCCACTGTGACTAGATTCGGCAAGTCTCTTTTATATTTTTACCTCTTGGTGTTTTAATAAATGAATGTTACATGAGAAGAATATTTAGCAAGGTCCGACTTAATTGCTTGATTAGATTAGAGCGTTAAAGATAAGAAACACATTTCATTTATCCAGAGTTTAGTTGTTTACTAAGAACTGCAAATATATCAGGTTTCTGTATGTTTTGGACTTTGCTATTCAGTTGTTTCTGATTCTTTTGACCTGATGAACATTTTAACAGGCTTTGCAGTAACTGCTTATTTCATTTCTTGTAAGGTTGTGCTTATATCATTAGTGATATTATCTTGTACTTATATCATTAGTGATATTATCTATTATTTGTCTTTTGTCAGCCTCTTTTTTGATTAACTTTTCCACGAATAGGCTTTGTTTTCAGTAACTCTTACTTCCTGTTATATATCCACAATATTAAATCATTTAGCTTCATTATTAGTGCTTCCATTGAGCAGTCAATTTTTTAGGGGTATTTCAAGATCTTTTCACACTTTTATTCAGTCCCTTAATTCAAAGAGGCTATTGTTTTGTTCAGCCTCTGGTGATCCAGTTTTTACAGCCATTTCTTAGAACCATTCTATCTAGATATATCACAATATTTTCAACATGTGCCCTTTTACAATGGCTGCAGTCACTATCTACACATTTTTTAAGCTTAGGAAGATAAAGCTTATTTTTACTTGACACAGAGACATAATTATGATATGGCTGGGTGGAACTGATAAATTCTGAAAAGACAAATGAAAAGAACAAAAGTCAAATATAAGAAATAGTGTATGGATGTTGTGGAAGGAATAAAATTTGTAGTGAAAGATTTGATATAAACTAGTTTTAGCTATATTTCTTTTTTTCTTATTTCATGCCTCAGTTCCTTTCACTTATTGTTTCTTACTCATTTCCTTTGTTTGCATAAATTGCCTTTATCAAAAGGGAACAGCTTAATAAGGTATATTTATGTAACTTTCTAAAGTATGATATAAATAATATTATAATATTCAATTGTGGAGGAAAATGCAATTTTTAACAGCTAAATATTTCAGTTTTGAACATAATGATCTTGATTTTATTGTCACATAATCACTCTGGAACAAGTACATATTTTGTGGATAGGGTTTATTTATGTTGCTGTTTAGTGTGTGTAGTGTGTGTTTAATATAGGCATTTTTATTCAGAAGTGAACATGAAGTCAATAAAATTACTCTTACATAGTTTGCCTAAGATTGCAATGTTAATCAAAATAAAACAGATTGGATACTCCAAAATAAAACAATTGAATCCTGCAAATTAAATGAATGACTGTCTCCAGATTATAATCTTTATTAAAATTAACTTTTCCAGTTCCTTCTTCTTTTCTGCCAGTATAGTTTTGCTGGAAAGAAATCATCTGGAAAAAATACATCCAACAATTTGGTTTTTGTTTTTGACACATATTAGAAAAAAATAAAATAAAATATTTGATTTATAAACATTTGGGTGAGGAATTTATTTTAGCAGAGAAAGAGAAAGAGAAGAAAGAAAGAAAGAAAGAAAGAAAGAAAGAAAGAAAGAAAGAAAGAGGAAGGAGGAGGAAGGAAGGGAAAGAAAGAAAAAGGAAGAAAGGAAAAAGATAGAAAGATTGTTTTGCATATAAATCCCTAACCAAAACTAGAACTTGAACTGACTGATGAGCATGGTAGGTTTATTGGATGGAAGTCAATATGACACTAGGAATGTATGACCCAAATGAGGACAAGTATTATTTTATAAATGATTTTATTATGGAGAGTTTAATAGGCTTTCATTATGAAAATTAGTGTTGGATAGGCATTGGAATGGAGTGCTATCTCTCGCTCTCTCTCTCTCTCTCTCTCTCCATTAGACAGAGAAAAATATTAACATTACATAAGGCAAATTACTAGGTTTTTTTTTTAAGCAAGTTTTATTAATTTCAAAAAACAAACAAATCATCATTAACCATTACATATTTGAACCTTTTTCCATTATAGATTTAACAAGTCAGATAAAACCTTATCTTATACAATACATTTCTATATTATTTCATCTATTTCTTTCTGACTTGATTATCGTCACTCTCTTTCTATGTTTCTACAAGGTTTCACCAATACTCTCAAAGACATAAACAAACACAAACATACATATAAAAAATCTTTTAGTAAAGTAACTTGGCCCCAGGTACCTCTCTTTATATGGGCTTTAATTATATTCATGCTCATCTTACAGATCATTACTTTTTTATTTACCATTCTGTATCTTCTATATAAACTTCTCCACACATTTCACTCTTCATAATTCTATCTTATTCAATCCATCTTAATTTAAATCATTATATTTGTATCTTTTGCCCATCCTTTATTATCCCTCTATCTCATTCCTTATAATGAAAAAAAAAAAAGAATTTCTCCTGAAATCACTAATCAGAGTATGATGCCTTTCTATCCTCTCCCTAAATTAATTAGATTAACATTTAAAATAACACCTAATACCCAATTTGATTCTGCTTGGTACATTCTATCTACTAATTTTTACTTTTAGTAACAATAAAAACAGAGTAAAAAATCAAAAATGTTTAAATACATAATATCCTCCTAAATACGTAATTAAATAATAAATCTAAATAATAAATCTTATAGCATTCTCATTGCCTTTCCCTTCAATATTTTATTACATTTTAAAAATCAATCATTATTAAACATTTCAACATTTTAATTTCTTATTAACTCTTAAGCCATTCTAATTTTCTATTTCTAATACAAATGTTACAATACCATCTTGTGTACCGTGCAGAATCTTTTTTTAAAAAAAATTATGCTTTACCCATTATCCCTAAAAAGGATTCCTCTTTTCCCATCTAATTTTAAAACTTTGTGGCTTTTCTCCGCCTTTCCCCTTTCTTTCTTCCCCCACCAAATCTTCCTACCCCCCCTTCTTCTAACCTCTGTCTTGCTGGCATCCCTTCTCTGTTGTATTCCCTTTTTCTCTTGTTTGCTATCATTGTATTTATTTTGCATCATATTTTTCTCTTTCTTAAATGTTTTTTTAGATCTTAAATCCTTCATTTTCCTCGCTTTCTTCCTTCCTTCTTTCTTAGATGAATTTTGGGATTCATTGAAGATGGCATCTTCATCTTCTTCTTGTTGTTCTTCAGCTTCCATCTGTATTGTCTGTTCATAGTTAACCAACGCCATTTCTAAAAAAAGAAAAGCTTTTTCCATACCATCTTTACAGGCTGCTTTTGTTTGCTCATATTCATCCCTCAGTTCCTCAAAAGAAAAAGCCATTATAGATCTTTTCTTTTCTTTTTCCCTCTTTCTTCTCACACCAACCAAAATATTCCAAAAGAAAAATAAGACAATCCCAAAGTCCACAATCCTCAATCAATCCAAGCCAAGCCAAAATTCCCCTTTTCTCTTCCAGGGGTAGTATCAGACAAAGGAAAAAAGAAAATTCAAATCTGTGTTTTGAAGCCTTATTAAGATTTTATTTCTGTTTTCAAATCCTTAAGGCATCTCCTCCAACAAAATCCAACCAGATAAATATATTTTTTGTCCTCTCCCTTCCGACTTATCCCAAAAGCTA